CCTCTCGTTTGACCATTTTTTAGTTTTTGTCTTTGGGGGGGGGGGGGATGTATTATAGCCATTGCTAATCTTTCTTTACTGTGTGCCTTAAAAAGACATAGTTATATTCCAATATCCTCAGAGGGAATGGTAGTCAACTAAATTTACCTCTACCCACTTTTCCCCAGTTTTTTCCTTTCTGTGTTGTAGGGTGTTAATCACTGACCAGGCAAATGCAACGCTAAGGATGTCTGAGAGAGGCTAACTAACAAAAAAGATCTGAATCATTATCTTATAAAATTTAACCATGAAGTTCTCCTTTGCATTGAGGATTTCTCACTGCAGTGATACACAATGGCCATGTTAGAAGGCTGTTTGACCTTCTGGGGGGAAAAAAAAAAAGTGTCTGCAGCATAGTCAACTAACAAACAATCCCCAAGACAAACCTATTAAAGTATAAATTAGCTCCAAAGAAACTTCTGGAGCTATATGGATAATGATTGCTTTTTGGCAAAAAATGATTCCTTAGATTGATGGATATAACTTGATTGTTGATGTATTCATTAATTGTAGCTTTACACTGTAATATCCAAAACAAAATCTGTTTTTGTTCCTTTCTACACCATACCACACTGTATTTTATAAACATTTGAAAACATTTGCAACATAAAAAAGTGTGTTATGTCAAAGTCAATTATAAATTATAACATTTACATATAGCTATGAAGTAATAATGGCCCTCTCAGACAGCTCCAGAAGAGTGACATTGTACTAAATGGTTAACTAAATATTGCAACGCCAAACCAAAACATTTTTTTTATTTGCATAGTGTCTAAATATGAAAGTATCCTAAGCCCTCTGCAACAACACAAGAACAGATTAAATGCCTAAAAAATATTCAAGATTAAAAGCAACTCTAAAAATCACTACGAAGCTAACATTATGTGCCAAAGGCCTTTTGAAATTTAAAAAAGAAGGGTTTTTCAACCTGTTTTAAAAGGGGCTAAATCCAGTAGTCCTCTTCAGGTCAAAAAGAAAAGCGTTCCACAGTTCAGGGGCCTGAGGCAAGGACACAGACTGTACCCCTTCTGCTCCTGCAATCCAGGCTCCACCAGCCCCATCCTCCCGGACCTCAGGGGGTGGGATGGCACACAAAGAGGTTCTTAAAGGTATCTGGGACCATGCGATGCATCAAGAGCGTTTGACTGATTCTCCTGTTGTTATCAAATACCCAATGGAAGCGCTTATCATAAATTTGGCAATAACACCCTACAGCAGCCACACTTTGAACTCGGATCGCATCTTTGATCCCGGGGGGTGAAAAGTGGGTCAGTCAGCAGCATTATCCCCATTTCACAGAGTGAAACCGAGGCACCCGGGATGGCCCCCAAGCAGGAGGGGGAAAAGAGCTGGACAAAGAACCAAGCTCTTGTCTCAGCCAAAACACTCGATCTTACACTTCCAGCTCCCCTGTGAAATGCGAGTTCTCATTTTCACTTAGGAGAAATTTTACAATCTTTGCTCTCCTATGCCTGAGGAAGGGCAAGTGTGCCCAAAAGCTTGCAAATCTTCTTTTGTTTTTTGCAAATATCTAGTAGGTCTAATGAAAGATATCATCTCTGCCACCAGTTCTGAGTCCTAAGCAACTGGACAATTAAAGCAGGGAAAAATCCTGGTGCCTACTGTGCCAGGAGCTTGCAGCACGGGCTGCATTTCAGAAGGGCTTGCAGGTGCAGGAGAAGAGAGTGTGGCTTTTCCCCCTGCAGCTGCCTGGGCTGGGGCGGGTCAGCAGCCAGGGCAGAGGGCAAAACCCCCAGCCCTGACCTGCCCCTCGCCGGGCCCAGGCGCTTGCGGGGCTGCAAGGATACGGGCCCAAGCCCCAGGAGAGGGGGAGGAGGAGAGGCTCGCCAAGGAGGCGCCTCCG